ACATATATTTAAAATTTTATTAAATTAAATTTCATTCCATAAATACTAGGTTTAGCTTATATACACTCCTCGTCTACATTACAGGGTATATACATGCATATAAATAATATTCAATCCAGGGCAATGAAGGCATATTGAGTGAGGTACTTTCGGCTTGGCGTGCGTTTCAAATTGAGCGGATTAAGTTTAATTACAATTTTTCGCCTATGGTGGGTGGGACAGAGCCACAAGCACACACATATACGCACACACGCACACGCACACACTTGCACATGACATACGCAGAAGGGAAGAACATGCAGCAGCTCCTTTGTGCAATGCATTTGTAAGGGTTGTTCCTTTTGTCTGGCGCATAAATGAAAAGTAAACCTTTATGCAACACTCAGCGGGATGCAATGCAATGCAGACCAAAACCAAAAGCAGAACCGCATTTAAAGCCAACCCCCCCTGAATCAACCCCCTCACACAGACACACACAGACACACCCAAGCGTTCCATATCTGTGGAAAATTCGTTACGCACACGTGTTCAATGTCGGCCTGGCCGACGTCCCACAACAGCTCCTGTTGCGCTCAGTGCTTATAATTGGATTTAGTTGTCGTTAAGTTTAGACTGCTTATTGTTTTGCGCCCGCTCGTGCATATGTTGGTTGTCATTATTGGCACCCAACAACCAAGGCGACGATACCAAGGCAATCTTCGCCAGCATCGCGTGCTATGTTGACTATGGACACAGACTTAATGCATTTGCCTTTTGGGGTTGCCGCTTTTCAAAGCATTTAGCCCATTGAAATTACAGAGCCCATAAAGAAAACTGATTACTTTACTGACGACTTAAGCATCGTATTGTTGGCAACGTGTCAAGAGGGTGCACTGAGTCAGAGCATGGATAAGGTTAATTAAATGCAATATTGAATCGTAATGTATGGCTCAAGCTCATAATGAATATTATTGTGTTGAGGCCAAGTGCATGCTGACCCAAGCCTCATATATAGCTACGAAGTCAAACAGCGCTAAAACAGACCTACATGAGAGCGTTTCAGATAATCAATTTTATTTATTATTTAAATTTAAAAATTTTATTTTTATTTATTATGTTCTTTATACGCGTTATTTTTGTTCAAAATTATTTTTTAACTGTTTAAAATATTTGTGTTGACTACCTTTTATTATATAGTTATAAAATTTGTTTATTTTGTATCTAATACTTTTCATTAATTATTGTTTATCAAAACAATTTAGTTATAGATGCTAATCCGCGAGGATTTTCGGAAGAGAAAATAAACTCTTTAAAAAATAGGAATACAAATATCATTCAATATTTGTATAATAGTTTATTAATTTACATTTATTTTCGGGCTGCTTTTATATATTGGTTTAATTGGTAATTAATTAGGCATAAAATAAATCTGTATAGACTAAATTGCATTTTTACTACATTCAATTCTAGCAGCTTATCTGCAAATGAAGCCAAATAATTTGATTGGCTTTTAAAGCCTTTTTCTTAGTCCATAGTCTACCTTCGAGCTGACACTTTGGAACCTGAAGCGCTTCGAATTATTTACAGAGTAATTACGTCTAATGCTATGCCCTCCGCCCAAGTCTGGCGTCTGCTTGCTGGCTCTGCTTGCTGGCCACATGGTCCTCTAATTACTTTCGAAAATTGTGATCAATCACACGGTATACATACAGACATACATACCTATAAATAAATATACAGTGTATGTATTCATTTATATATATGCTACTTGTTGTTGTTCTAAGCTACAACCCCACAGCTGCTGCTGCATAATGACCAAGTCAGTGTAGGAAACACCTCAGAGTCAACGCCAGAAGCCAATGGCATGGCTAAAAGCATTTCTGCCTTAATCGTTTCATGTCGCGCGACAAGTTAAACCCACAGCCAATCCCCCACAGCTCCTTCTTCACCTTCTTCTGCATCGACGGTGGAGCCACACAGCTAGCTGGGGGTGGCAGCCATTCCAACTGCTAGTCGTGGTCAGCTGTGCGTCAGATTTGTGTAGATTAGCTGAACAGTTGGGTCTGGGGTCTTGTGCCTGGCAGGCGCTCTTAGTAATAATTGCAAATCAATGACAGGGAAATTCAATTCAAAGGCTGCCAGGCGACACCACAACAGCAACAACGACAGGAGCAACAACAACAACAACTTTGAACACAACAATAGAAGCAACATGGAGGCAGCTTGAAATTTCAATTCGATCGATTTGCAATTGACAAAAAGCGTGCCGCACCAAATGTTGCCCGGCGTACGTAGGTAGCGGGGGCCAACTCCACGGGATTTGCGTTTAAATGACCAACGCAATTATGGCCAAGCATAATTATAGCTGTGTGGGTATATATTTATATACAAAGATGTGTATGTCGATATGTGTATGAGTGTGTGCGTGTGCCATTGTGTATGACAGCGGCCGTGCGTTTCTGCGTTATATTGGAAAATTTAATTGATTTAATCAAACAATGACAAAGATTAATGTGTTTTATTAACGTCAAGGCTGGGGGCCCCATAATTTAGTTCAAGTAAAGAATACTTCACAAATTACATTTTTGTGGAGATAAAGGCTAATTAGGGTTTATAAAAATCCAATTTGTGTAATATTCAATTGAAATAATATTTTAAAAGGGAATTTTAATATTAATAATAGTATTGAAAAAATAAAAAATAAAACAATTTGTTTAGAGTAATAAATGTACTATTAAGGAAAAATTAGTTTTTAAAGATTTTGTAAAATATGGAATACATTTTGTATATATCGATTGAAACTTTTAACACTTTCATTACCGTAAATAATATTTCCCGTAAAATAGTGCCACAATCCAAAATATTTGCTTAGTATTTATAATTATATACAATTTGATTGAGCTAATTTGACCCCACTTTCAATTATTATGTCGCCCTACTTCGCTGTTTATCTGTGTCTGTGTCTGTTTATCTTGCATTTTTGTCGCATTGTGTATTTGCTTTGTGTAAGCGAGCTAATTGTTTTTAAATGCAAAACTATAAATATGCAAAGCATTTACATAGACAAACACACAACTACATGTACATACATGTGCGCCATTCAATGGCTGCATATTTACAAGCAATAATTTATTAAATGGTAATTGTTTATGGCATATTATGGTCATTATGGTGCATGCCTTCATTTATTTTAATATGCCTTCAATCAACACACATGCACTGTAGCACACACACACACACACAAACACTTATATACACAGCTAACCATTTCAATCAATTGTCATTTGCATAAAATCAACATTAAAATGGCGGCGTTCTCCAA